TATGCCTTGAACCTGATCTTCCTGACTAGAGCTCTAGCTGTTAGTAATATTTGGATTTGGTTGATCCATCTTAAAAATACTGAACACAGTTATATGTGACACATGCATATAAAAATAAAATAAAATGAGCATGCAAAACTACCATGAATTATCTCACTCTTGTGTAGATTAAATCATATAGCTCTGTTATGATTCGATTCAACAACCGACATTCTAATACCAAAAAGCTTATACCTACTCGGCTCGATATGACCCGATACCACATAGGTAATGCCATGCCCGATCATGGCAAGAACTAGAAAATAATCCTAAGATTCAGTTGGCGAAGTGCTTTAAAAAACTAAAATTCTAATTCATACAACACAAAGCAACTATTGAATACAATATAAATAAGATAGATTAAATCTAGAAAATATTTTTTTCTATATATCATTAAAAAATACATATAAAATCTGATATATATCTACAACAATGTTTGGTAATTGAAAGTATAACAAAAATATAAAAGCCAAGCTCATAAAAATAAACTAGTAAAAAATGTATACCTACAACATATATCAAAGCCTGATATCAAAACTACTAAGCTCACTCTATACCCCTTTTCCTGACCTGAAAATAGAAGCAAAAGGAATAATGCTCTAACACAACTCAATAATCTATCATAGCCTAAAATATGAATCAATAACTTCAATCGCAAAGTTAAAAATGCTGAAATAATAAATTGAAGCACTGTACAACAAGCAAAAACTGAAATATGTACTAATATTAAATGCATTTAAGTAACTAATAAAATTATACTGAAATTGATTGAAATATAATTAAATATTTTATAGTAATTATCTGAATGACTATTAGGCCCCAGTTTTTTCATATATAACAAATAAAAGAATCTATTTTTGCCACCAATAGAATCTCTTCTTAATATACATTGCCCTCAAGCTCCACAATTTACAATACATAACAAATAATAAAATCTCTCCTCATTACCAACAAAATTCCTTCTCTTCATTATTCAAATATATCAATCACAAATATTAAATATAGAGTGAATTGTACACTACTAAAGCAACAACAATATTATTGTTTAATTTTATAAAAATTCTCTAATGTATATCAAATAATTTCCTACCTAGTGTTCTACATTTTGTCATAACTAAGTTTTCATAATTCTATCACATTATCAGAGATTGTGTATAACATCTTTCTAAGGCTATAATTGATTTAAATTATCATTTTTAGATGTTAAAATGAATTTTTGAATTGATAAAAATAACAACTTTTCAAAATCATCTCGCAAAAAATCTTAAATAAATATTCAAAATGATCAAAACAGTCATACCAATAACATATCAGAAGTTGTATGGATAAAAGTTATCAAAATTCGATAAAACTGCATTTTTTGTAAAATCAAATTATAAATTTGATAAAAAAAAATCTTAAAACCACTGAATTATTGAAAATTAAGATAGACAAAACATAACCTTCCTTGAGATGAATAAATTTTTCAGCTGGATCAACTGACAAAAAATGACTCAATGACCTCAAAAACCTAATTCTCTCTCCTCTCTTTTCATTTTAATATCTATTTTGCATTCTTTATTGCATTGGAACAAATGGGAAAATGGAATTATGTGAAGTTTATAAGTGGAAATAGATTTTTCTATAAAAAAAATAATTAAAGGACATTAATAATAATTATAATTATTTAATTTTTAATGTAAATTCATATGAATCTTTTTGTATCTTCTAATTCGAGTATCCAAAAATTTTAAGTTAGCTAGGCATGCATAGAAGATTTTAGGGAAATCATTTTGTAAAATGGATACCTAACAGTCCTAGAAGACCCACCTATACTAACATTTATTAATTTCTTAAGAAATTTCAATTAAATAAGAAGCTTCTTATTTTCAAATATATAATACCTATAAAATTAAAAAATATATATTATAGTTAGAGCACAATAATATGCATATTCTAAAAAAATTGGACTTTTAACGACTCCTGAAATACTATTTAATTGTTAAGGGTTTTTACACGACAGTTGAATTGATAGCAAATTGATAGAGTAGTTTCTCATATAATTTTATTTATGTGGCTCGTGCAAATAATCCAATTATTATTAACAACTTTAAGAAATATTGCTGCTTGTGGGTCAAGGCAAGCAAAAAGATGAAGCAATTAATAAGCAAAGAAGATGTGACCCGTCTTTAAATAACAACATTCTAAATAGCTCCATTAGGGTCAAATTGTTCCAGTTGTTTCTAAAGCCACTAGTTGCCTCTCAAAGCATAAATTTACCTTCCATCCACCAACCTACAAAATGTTAACCAACTTCTGTTGATCGACGTTCTACTCCCAATGCATTTCAACAACAATCTTTCAAAACTAACATGCCAATAATATCGGCCAAAATTGACATATACTCATCAAGGTGCTTGAATTGGCAATGGATCAATCTTCTTATACCTTGTAATTGGCAGACATGATCCTTTTGAGCTCAAGCGCAACGCCTATAGTTAAATCGATGAAACTAGGCAATAAAGAGACAAGCAAGGCGTGTTTGGACCTCCCTAAATGACATCTTTAATTAGGTCTTAAGCACGAGTAGGGAAATCACTCGCTTGGATCCCGAAGTGATGGGTAAAATCATGATTTGCAGAGTTATCATCTACCATTTGGTCTTTAGAAGTCGACATAAGTAGGTTAAATTAACTAATGTTTAATCTTTCAATGGAAAACTAATACAATTTCATCCTTGAAAAATACAAAAAAACCCTCCAATAACAGTGAGTTAAGAAAACATGTTCATATTTCAACGGATAAAAGTCGTTAAAACCATAGAAACATACAACTAAGAGCTTAATAACAAACCCAAATTTCAATATCATAATGTTTAACAATACACCCATTTTTACACTATTCATAATTGCATTAATAAGCATGTTAACCTCATGAATGTTCATGTAAAACTTGTGGCTAACACACAATGCAATTATGTAATTCATGATTCACGTATATGTCACAATCTCTACTTAAAATTTCACTTGTACTTATACCTCAACTTAATCATTCTCACATATGTCTCAATTCCCCTAATAACTTCACTTCCTCTTATATCTCTACTTGATCATGCCACATTTTGTTCAAGACAAATGGAGGAATACATGAACATAAACATTTAAGGTCCTTTGTAACTAAGCTTGTACTTGATCATTTCCCACATTCATTCCATCCTCCATATGAACACACAAGTGCATCATATGTACATGAAAACATCGACATAGTTAACATGCATAAATGACATTTAACATAATGCATGAATGCATTAAAGTGAAACATATATAATAATTATAATAGTAGAACTTATACACATATTTAGTAAGGAAATTTTAGAAAATTATTCACAAGGAATATTTATAGCATCATTTTGGAGCTTTTATTTCACTGTTCTACAACTCTTTTTATTAAAATCAACATAAATAGCAAAATACATGAAAATCACACATTTAAAACAGATCAATGAAATTTTGAGTTTTACCCATCAAAATCTACAAAATTGTGTATTCTACAATATACCAAAAGTTATACAAAGGAAAGTTTCCACAATCAGCTTGAAAATCTTCTTTTTATTCTCCTTTATATAATATAAGAATGTTGATACATCATTTAATTATATAGAATATTTTGTCGGTATATAATTTTTGCATTCTCTGAACATATATTGAAATAAACCTAATAATATTCGAACATGTTCAAACTATTATCGAACATGACGGAACAATAATCAAATTCTAGTTGAATATATAATTATGCAATCTAAATTTATTAGAAAAAAAATGGATTCACTTTATTAAAAATCTATTTAACATATTCGTTTAGCGAAGACATGAATGCACTTTATTCATAGAATTATATTCAAATATAGTTTGAATAAAATATTAAACAACGTAGTATTTGATATCTTGAAATATGTTCAATCATTATAAGAAAAAAAATCTAAATATATTTTGTATAAATATTTTAACAAGTATTGAAATACACTTTATGATATATGTTTAACTTTTTGTTTCATCTCCATCAAAATGATCTGATATATGGTACATAATTAAGGCTTCATTTTGGGCGGCTTTTTTTACTACTTTATAAAGTAATATTTTGATAAAAAAATAAAATTTTAAACATATTTGCGCAAGTAAGTAAGCCATCTCAAATAAAACCAAAAACTTTATTTGGGAATTCTTTCTTCTTACTTCTTAAAACGGCTTTTTAATATAAAAATTAAAAAAGTTTTAACTAAAAAATTGATTTAAGAAACAATAAAAAAGTCGTCTGAAACTAAACCTAAACCTTAAAAAAAAAGTGATTATATTTGCGTAAGTCTATAAATAAAGAAATCCCTAAGTTGGTCGCACATGAGAAAAAAGAAAAGTATAAAGATATGACGCTGAAATGAATAAAGTGAAAGTAAATGTATTCTCTCATTTATAATTATATGGTTATCAGCTTCATCATTTAATTTAAAATAAAAAATTTAAGCATAATTTTTTAAAATAATAATATATTATTTAATTTTAAATATTAGGAGACATATGAACCCAAATTTTAGAGCTGTTGAGGGAAAGTTCAATTTTATCCTGCTGCACGGCTGGCACGAAGTCGCCTCACGGGGGAAAAATTATTGCGTCCTCCCACCTGACGTAGAGATACGTCCTCCCACCGCTAAAAAATTTGGTTTTTGCTCGGTATTGCTACCTATTATTTGGTAATAACGAGGAATATCATCATGTGAAGACCAATACCGAGTTATACCGAGCAATACCGAGTTTTTTCAAGAAAAAACTAGGTATTTTTTTGTATTGCTTGGTATAGCTCAGTATTGATCTTCACATGATGATATTCCTCGTTATTATTTTAGCTTGGTATTTTTTATTTTTTATCACGATTTTAGGCGTGAGAGGACGCATCTCACGGGGAGCATGAGAAGTTTTCCTCTCAAAATCTCCTTCCATCAATCGCTAAGAAGTTGAAGGACGATTCCATCTTCAGTTCCAAGGCCAATCTTTCCATCCCTCTGTGTAAGTTCTACACATCAAAACCCTCTTTACATTCCAGTTCCAGTCAGTCTTGTCGGTCTCCAGTTTCACATAAATTCCTTCCGTATCAAAATAGAATCGAAAATCAACAAACCCTAAACCCAGCCCACCTCTCCGCAGTCCTGTCAAAAAAGAACTGGTTTTTTCTTTTACGAGCCGAGTATAGTTCAAGTTTTCTGAATTCAAGATCTTTAGTCAGTATCTTGCATGGACAGCGCGACCCGATTCACTCACTCAAATTCTACATCTGGGTTTTCAGTATCAGCCATGAGTTGGCAAAGGATCATTCGGTTCAAAGGGCTCTTTCTGATATTTTCTGGAGAAAGGGCCTGGTAGTTTTGTCTGTAGAACTTATGAAAGAGATTAGAGATTCCGAGCTTCGAATTTCAGAGGATATACTTTGCATTCTTATTGTAAGTTGGGGTAGATTAGGGCTCGCAAAATATGCAAACGAAGTGTTTGGACAAATACCCCACCTCAGTATTAGGCCAAGCACCAGAATTTACAATTCAGTGATCTACGCATTGGTTAAGGCAAATGCACTTGATCTTGCGTACTTGAAATTCCAACAAATGGCTTCTGATAACTGCTCCCCTGACCAATTTACATACAATGCCCTTATCCATGGATTGTGCAGGGCAGGGATTGTTGAGGAGGCACTTCGTTTGGTGAAGAAAATGCAGAATTTTGAGACTAAAGCAAATGTGTTCACTTACACAATGCTGGTTGATGGGTTTTGCAATGCAAAGAAGGTGGATGAGGCATTGAAGGTTTTGGAGATGATGAAGAACAGAAACGTAGTTCCTAATGATGCTACATTTCGATCATTGATCCATGGAGTGTTTCGATGTTTAAAGCCAACCAGTGCTTATGAGAAATTGAGTGGGTTCTTAGAAAACCACAGTGTTTTTCATGTGAATGCATGCGGCACTTTATTATATTGCCTTTCAAAGAATAATATGGCAACAGAAGCTATTGATTTTGTGGAGAAAATGGGGAAGAAAGGTTATGTTTTGGACACTGCTACGTTCAGCCTCGTTATGGCTTGCTTGGTTAAGGGTTTGAGACTAACCGAAGCCTGTAACTTGTTTGATGATTTTGTTCGCAAGGGAGCATTTGTTGAAGGAAGGAAAAGTTGGGCAATCAAGGCGATATATGAAAAGAATGGTCTCTGACAATATTTTATGCAGCATTGAATCATACAACATGTTGATTGATTTATTCATCAAAGCTGAAATGAGGCCGAGGAGGCACAGAAAATTTTTTCTGAAATGCCACATATGGGATTTTCTCCAAACTTAATAACATTCAATACGCTTATCAGTGGGCACTCCCGGGCTGGAGATATAAATATGGCAAAGAAGGCGTTGAAGATGCTCTTAAAGCATGGATTCAAGCCTGATGTTTTCACTTTCAGCTCCATAATAGATGGTCTTTGTCGAGCCCACCAACTTGATGATGCTTTTGATTGTTTTGGAGAGATGGTTGAATGGGATGTTACCCCAAATGCTGTAACTTATAACATACTAATTCGATCTCTTTGCGCTGTAGGGGATTCTCGAAGATCAATGAAGCTGTTTTTAAAGATGAAAGCTGAAGGTATTACACCAGATGTTTTCTCTTTCAATGCTCTCATCACAAGCTTTTGTAAGATGAATAGGATTGATAAAGCACAGAACCTTTTTCATTCAATGGTGAGATTTGGTGTAGCTCCAGATACGTATACTTATAATGCTTTTATACAATCTCTATGCAATGCAAAGAGAATCGATGAAGCCAAAGAGGCTGTAGTGGTGATGGAAGCCAATGGCTGCAATGCAAACGAATATTCTTATAAATGTATTATGGATGCACTATATCAAACAGGCTGTGTGGAGGAAGCCCATGAGTTGTTTCATCATTTTTTAAAGCAAGGGTGTTCATCTTACTGATCCTAGTCAGAGGTTTGATACTCAGATTACTGGCACAGAAGAGAACAGTTATATATCAATTTATTGATCATTTGTATTGAATTGCCCTGTACTAGTTTGGATTTATCTTGGTGGCTGCGCACGGAAAAGGCATCCGTGGAGTTGGAAAAATTATTAGGTGCGGAGTGCGCACTAGCGCACTATCCGCACAAGCACTGGATACCCAGCCGTACCGAGTGCGTGTACCGCTAGGTACCTAATACTTGTGCGGATAATTCTCCCTGTCCGCACTCCGCACCTAATAATCTCTCATGGAGTTGGCAACCACTGGGGATTCAGAATAAGGGAAAATAATTTATAGAAAATTATGTGTTCTTTCATTATCCGTTTGACCCAAAATGGTACTGTCGGTCATAATTTTTTGGTAGATCTTACTAATAATGATAAATATATTCCACCACCTTTAATGAAAACATGTCACTCTCAGCTTAACAGAAAATGCTACTCAACTCCTTTGCCATCTGCTACAGCTTTTCATAGCTATTAATCTGGTCCGTTGGTTCTCATCTGTTGTCTGTTTTGTAAACCGTCTGATGCGTTGAAGATTTCATTGAACTACTGTTATCTATGGTTATATTGTTGTCATGTAGCACAATACGCGAGATTATCTTTATTTCTTCTTCATTGTTCTCATACTATATGTAGTTTTAGCTGTATTATAGGTGGAAGAATTTTTACATGTATAAAAGCGCCTTTGCTTCACAGCTTCCAATGGATAACTCTTCACCTTTCTTCTCAAATCAAATCATGTCAGCAGAAACCAACAAAGAAACTGCTGAATGCGTCATCTCATCTCATTTAAAGTTTCTTATGGCTAGCATTAAGAGTATTATACATACCACTTTGTCTGCAGAAAATCATTCCACCTGGCGTTCTCAGGTGCTTAAGGTATTCATAGTAGTCCTGATGGTTTGCCTTCAACAAATCCAAGCTATACTCAATGGATGCTTACAGATCAAAACTTCTCAGCTGTCCTCTATTCAATTATCTCTTCCCCTCTTCTGCCATACATCCTTAATCTTAACACTTGTCATGATTTGTGGATAACCATTGATAAAATATTGCAAGTTAGTAATAGGACACACATTATGCAGCTCAAAAAATGAAATGCATCATGTGACCATTAAAGATATGACTATATCTCAATACTTGTCCCTCATTAAATCGAAGGTGGATGCAATCAACACAACTATTAGTTCACTAGATACAAAAGATGTCATCCGATGCACATTGAATGGGCTTCATGCTTCCTAACATGCCTTCAAAACTGCCATACGCACTAAGCTACATCCTCTGAGCCTTGATGATTTGTATTCACTTTTATGTAGTGAAGAAATTTCCTTAGCAGCTGAAGTGATGCATGATACTCACATTTCAGACATTTCGGAATCTCAACCTACTTTATATGCATATTGTGGTAGAGATTGTGGTCGGTCATCAGCTCCACCATTCATACGGGGAAGATCTGGTTTCAAGGGAGGACGCTATTATACCGGACATGGTGGTCGTAACAGGAACATAATAGTTGAATGCCAAATCATTTTTAAGAACTAATACTTTGTTGTCCAATGTTAGTTTCACACAAACACATTTAGCCTTTGCAACTTAAAATCATCCATCACCACCTGCTGATTGGTTCCTGGATAGTGGATCTTCTTATCATCTCACACCAGATCTTTCCCAATTGCAATCTCCCTTAGCTTACAATGGCACTCAATCCATCTCTTTTGAAAATGGCCAGTCATCACCCATTATTGCTCATGGTCAAGGTATCCTCCCCACTCCATCATGTAAGCTTCTCCTTAAACCTATGTATTTCGTTCCTAAACTCAAACACAATCTATTATCTATTCATCAACTAACTTGCAATAATAAATGTTCTCTATTATTTCATTCCCATGGCTTCCAAATTATGGATTTGGAGACCAACAATCTTATCCTTACTGTTAAAGCCCACCTACCATATCAGTTTTGGGTATATGCTCTATTAACAACAACTTACTTGATCAATTGCATGCCATCAACTGTGTTAAAAAATAACTCTCCATATGAACGTCTGAATGGTAAACCTCCCAATTATTCTCACTCACAGTTCTTTGGATGGTCGTGTTACCCTCTATAACTGCCTCACTCAAATCATAAACTCTTTCCAATAGATTTCAAAGCCTTTTTTTTATATGTTGAATCCACAAAGGGGTATTATTGTTATCATCCTTCCATTGGTAAGGTAACCATTTCTATCAACATTATCTTCGATGAACATATATTTCCATATCAAAATTTAGCAACTCCTGCTTCAAACCCACCATATGCACCATATTACTCCACAACACCGCTTGCACTTGTTCCTCATTCTCTGCTTCTTACTATAGTTTCATAAACTTCCTATGTTCTTCCTAGTTCCGCTTCCCTTCCAATTTCTCCAAATCACAACTCTCCCTCTTCTCCTCAGTCATCAATAACATCTCCTCAGCCACTTGCTCCCACTATTCTACCTGCAGAAGCTCCACTACCCTAGTCTTCAAGGCACCATATGCTAACCAAATTTAAGACAGGTCTTCAGATGCCCAAGAACATTTTCACGATGTTTCATGAATCTACAACTATTACGGATCTCACCTGCTATACTATGGCTATGAAGTCACTACACTGGAGATAAGCTATGTCCGAGGAGTTTCAGGCTCATCAAACCCAAGGCACATGGACTTTAGTACCACCTGTAGTAGATTAGAATGTCCTAGGATCCAAATGGCTATTCAAAACAAAAATACATGAAGATGGCTCTGTTACTCGTTATAAAGCCTATTTGGTAGCCAAAGGATATAACCAAGCATATGAATTTGATTTCACTGAGACTTTCAGTCTAGTTGCAAAAATTCAAACTATCCAGATTTTCATTCTCATAGCTCACATTAATCATTGACCAAATAGTTAACTTGATTTATAAATTAAACATTAGGATTTTATTTCTAAATACTTAAGATGTCAGCACAAGAAATTTTTAGTAGTAGTATAAAACTGGACATTCATATTTTGTTTGGACTATTTTCTAAAGAAGCTTTCTCGTACAAAAAAAA